TGTCAACCTTCTGTCATTTGACCTGGTCCTGCGAGCCATTTCTGTGGTGACTAATTCTGAGTAAGATGTTCTAGAACTGCACAATTTGGCTTCTTTTTCAAGAACAGGAGTGCAAAGAAATGCTGTGTCTAGACGTGGACATGTATCCACTAGAAAGACCCCAAACACCTTTCTGACTTGCAACAATCCTGAAAACCTAAATTTGTCTTGCGTTCTCTCAAATTTTGTCTGAAATTATTCCTTTCTTTTCTTTCTCATATAATGCTGCCCTTTCAACATGTTTACTGTCTTAATGCAGGAGGCAGATCTTTATCTTTCAAAAAATTTGGATTGGCTAATGCAACTAGTCAGGTAAATCAGAGCACTATGTGCAGGACTATGTCCAAACAAAGAATAGTGTTGTTAAGAAAAATCAAACCTTAATGTTTCTAATCAGACATGGAGAAATAAAATTGTCCTGGTTTTACTTTAATCAATGATGATTTTGCCCTTGACTTCTGTGGAGCTAGTATTTCAACAGGAACATTTAATTAATTTATTTTTCTGATTTAAATCAGGTAAAAAAGGAGCACATGGACAATAATTTAGACTAGAAATATGTCTGTAAGTATTAAATCATGGGGAGAAGGAATCCAACTTATTAAAGAATGTGGTGATCTACAAAAGAAAAATTCTAGTACATAGGTTTTTTTCTTGGCCCTAAACACCACCAAGTTCTTTACTGATTTGAATAATTAATGTTTGTAATATTTTCCTATGGACAACAGGGGGAAACCGCATTATGGCTGTGACACAAATAATTGCTTTGCTACATTTACTTACTTTCTGCAGTGATAAGTACGCATAAGGCTCAGTTTAAGAATTTCACAATATACTTAAATTTCTGATCAAGCTGATTTGAATTAAGTCCACCATGCTAACCTTTTTCAATAGAACTTTACAACATACTATAAAACTGTTGTTTAAACAATGCTTCCCATAATTGCCACCAATAAATGATACTTTTATTGCCACTAGAACACTCTTGGTTACCGGTTTCCAGAGATCGCTGCAGTAATCTGTATGTAACTTTGTATTATGTTGTTAATAGTTGTATGGTTTTCTTTTTAGAATTCCAAAACTGGAAAAGTTTAAGAAAACATGCAAAATGCTGAGGATACACGTAAGTGAAATATTTAATGTCCATCATTCATAAAAGTTACATTGTTTACACAGGGTTCATTAGTATATAATAAAAATGTCATCTTAATGAAAGATTTTCTGGCAAGTCTTTTATATGTTAATTTGTTTAACATATGCTTTGGCTATACAGCTAAATAGGAATATATTTTAAAAAATCTTTCTGCAAATAGTTGCTTAACAGTTACAAAACCTCATTACTAAGCATTGGTTATTGTTACATTTGCTTGTTGGCTTGTAAAAATCATCTGTGATTTGGACTGGAAATCTTTTTGTCCAAATCTTTTTGTCCAATCTTTTGACCAACTTTTTGTAACATACTTGCTCATTGCATAGTGACCATGTAAACAGCTCAGGGATCCACAAATTATATTCTTGTACTCTAAAAGTCATTGAGGATTTTACATACTGTACTGCTTATGTTTTCTTAGATTGATGAAGAATTTGGGGATTGTTTTATTGTTGATGTTGATGGGAATTTTTTTTTGAAACATGTCAGTTTTATACAAGGAGTTAAAAAATTAAAAAGTTAACACCAAAGGAAATAATTTTACACTGTGCAACAGTATTGCTACCTCATTCTTTGTGATTTTAGATATATATAACATATTGGAACTGCACTGTACTGCTTCTTTTCAAAAGAAAAGTTTAAATTAGTTGGAACAATTAGCTATGTGTTTACATAAAGTTAACTATGTTTGCATCAAATAAAATGTTTATTAATGAAAGCTATTATACAAGAAACATCAAAGAGAAATTCATCATACAGAAATGTACACTATATGTGACAGATGGAAAAGTGCATGCAGATTTGTCGCATTTAAAAATAAAAGAATTCAGAAACAATAGTACTAAAGTTACTGGGTTTTGATTCCTAAGATCTCGAATGAGTGAAAAGTTCTCTTTGAATTTACAAAAATCCATTTAACAGATATGACTAGTACACATTAGCAAGCAAGTGGAATGAATGCACTCAGATTTTATTTTACAAGTACTTGTGCTTGACAAATGTGATTTTTTTTTAAAGAAAAGTTTTCTTCGAATATGGGCTGGGTAGATTGCTGCCAGGTTGCTCTGGTTTTATACAGTTTCTCTAAATTTGTTTTTAATACCACACAATTTGTTGAAGCCTTCGGTTCTGTTAATTAGACACCATAAAATAACATATGTTTTGTTAACATTCAGGAAATGACATCAAGTCTTTTATTTTTATTTTTTGGCTCAATAGATTTTTAAATGTATGATTATCATAACCTAATATTGTCTTTGTCTTCACTGCAGTGGATTTCCGATCAAACTTTTCCCCTTCTTTTAATACTTTAGGGAATTTTCAAACGTCGGGATGTTTGGCTGTAATGCCCCATGATTTGTTCTCCCTGAAAGAAATCATAGTGACAATTTATTAAACTACAGAGCAACCTGGCTTTTCAGGGTCTGCAATTCTATTTTGTGTTCAATATACCTAGCATTAAATCTTGATTCATTTCATCATATTATTTAGGTTATATTTGTCATGCAATTACTTTAGCTGCTAGTTTTCTGGCTTTTTTAGAGATCTAAGACAGGGTTTCAATATCAAATCAGTGGGGCATTACTTTGCATGTTCAAAAAAGGGGGTTAAAAGGCTAAAATCTAAATTGCACCAGCAGTAGCATATACATTGAATATGAAGAAATTGAAAACCTAAGAAGGAACCATATTTTAAAATATTTAAAAGGCCGTGTTTCCGTGTTTAATACCAGTTGTTCACCCTAAAAGCAAAGAGACACACTGGTACATGTAGACTTCAAATTAAAAAAAAAAAAAAACCAAAACAAAACTGATGGGAAATAAAACTCCTTAGATTCGAAATGGTTTATTCACACAAATTTAATAGGATATATCACAATTGTTTGGTCCATAAATATTTAGGGGAAATAGTTTCTATACAATGCATTTATCAATAAACAAAGAAACATGGACAATTTTGCTAGACCACTTACTGTACTATAAACACGAAGCTCAATATATAAGATTATTGGATTTATCAACTATATCTGAAAGAGTGCACAACTGCTTTCTATGACATGTTTGTCCCCTCTAACAGGATACACCATAAAAAGAGTTTCAGAAATAAGAGGTAAAACAGTACAAAACTAGTGAGGTGTCAAAAGGGCTTAAAACAGTTAATTTAACAAACAACACATATATCCTGATTTTTCACAAACTTACTCCCAAGGTATATCATAAGGCACATAGTAGAACTGAGTTTTAATTAGTCTACTTAATAAAGTAGATCTCTAGTACCATATATTGTTCTGTCAAAGAACAAAATTTATAAGTATCAATATTTTTACCTGTAAAAGTGTATTAATAAAGATCTCAGCCTTACCAAGGTCGTTTGGTCTGGTTAGTGGTAAATGCCCATAAGGTAATAGAAATAGGAAAAGTCAAGATTTAATATCCGTAGAAGATGATAACCATACTTGCTAAATATATAATGGCAAACACACCTTTCTTCTATTACAGTGTTAACATCTCTTCCATCATCTTTTTTTAAAAATAAGCTACTTTTCTGTGCTAATTTTCTAAAAACCCTGAGCAAAAATTACAATAATGCACTTTAATGTGGGCAGTGAACTGTCAATATGTAACCACACATTTATACAGCCAAAAAGGACACCTTTAAAATATATTAAATAGCCACTTTGACCATCAAAAAAGAGATTTGATGGTGTCTAAAAAGTGGGGTATATGTGCAAAGTTATTCTTAACAATCCACTAAAAGCAAGACATAGATCTTGACTGGTTTTTGTTCGGTTTTGTTTCTGAGACTCTCCACAATCTAATTGGTGTTCAACTACAATAAAAGGATACAAATGAACATTCACCACTGCCCAGACCATTCAGACTTTTAGCTTAAATAAAATTAAAAAAAGAAAGATCACTATTGTAAACTAAGAAATGTATTCAGATCAGCATCCACAAGGCTTTTGAGTTTATCTGCTTTAAAATTATTCACTGCCAATTCCCATTTTTATAAGAATTTTTGCTAACATTTTTTCTTTTATACAAAGTTTAAAAAGTTAAAGTATGTGTTAGAGATATTAATGAACTAAAGGTTTTAAGTTCATGTGTTAAACAAAGTGTCTGGTACAATCTCAGGAAACATCTAAAGTAAATTCAAAATAGTAATGAATAAATTGTACTGAGATATTTTCCTTAAACACCTTAATAAATTATATTTTGCTTATTTCCATTTCCCTGAAAAAATTATGATTTATCAAAACTCATTTTAACAGTACACATGCATACGTCTTCTTGGAAATTATTTTTGTGCTTGCTAAAGTAGCTGGGCAACCTCCTGCTTGCTTTAATGGAACGGCATCGAGGCCGTGTAGTGAACAGCACTTATTTTTTTTTAATTCCAAATCAGAGCTGCTTGACAGACAAAAATGAAAAACCCTCCCTATGTGATATTTCAGATCAGTAGGACTCCTCACTTGAGTTGTTATTCTGCTGTTATTACTTTAATAATATCCCTACAGGAGTGAGCTCATTCTGGAGGACGTTTTCCGGATCTTGCCTCCTTAATGTACAGAACACAAATTTGGAGACCAACAGCCTGACCCTGCCACCCTCACCCGCATGCACTCTCATCACTGGGTCTCTCTCTCCAAGCCTTCCATCCAGGCACAGCTTTCAGTGGTGGCCAAGGACATCCCAGCTGGGTGAAGAACTGGCAGAGGAGCGTTTAGCTACCCCAGTGAGACTCCCCAGTGCTCAGGGAGGGTCAGGCTTGTGACTAATGCATTAGAAAAAAGCACTGGCACTTGCAGTCTGACTGTTTCAATTATTAGTTTAATTTGTTTTGTATTTATTTGTCAACATTTAAAAAATAAATCATACAAAACTTTTAGATGCATTATAAAAATAAAATGAAATTTGGGGTTCTTAAATGCTGTACGTGAACATACAATCCTGAAGCAGCATTCTTTTGGTTATAATTAAACTGATTTTTATCTGGTTATCAAGGAGGGAAAAGAATCTTCTTTTTTTTTTTTGTGGTAGGAATCATTTTTGTCAAGGTTCTGGAAATAAGTAACATACAATTTTAAGAGGCACTTATTAGAATGATTCATAAACTTCTCTTCAGTTATTTGATGAATTTAAAAAATTTGAGTACAATTTAACAACCATAAATGTTCATTTATTATAGCAACATATTACTTCAAACTCATTTGCCAAGTGGCTGCAGATGCTACACATCAAGCTGTTTATTTTCCCAAATATTTTGTGGGTTTGTTATTTAAAAAAAAAAAAGCTTGAAAATAATAAAAATAATAATTATAATAATAATAATAAAGAAGAAGAGTAAGAATTAAAAAAAAAAAAAAACTGAAATGTTAGAAAAGGTTCGTTAAGGTAGTTTGTGAGGGGCTCCCGGATTCGTGGCTGTCCAAGTTAGAGGTCACTGATGTCACTACAGTGATAGTGGGATTGGTCAGGTCTGTTAAAGTGGTCGCAGTGCCGGGTGGAGTGAGTGCGCCGCTGTCTGCTGAGGGCGGTGCCGGAAGTGAGGTGCCATCAGCTTTATCGACACCCCCATTCTCCTGCCGCAAAAGGTTCCTTCTGAATTTGGCTCTTGCGTTTTGAAACCAAACCTGCAAACCAATCCCAATTGATTTCTTTACCGATGCTTGTTTTGTTTTGCTTATTTTTGTCTTTGTTCTTGCTTTTAAGTCATTTTTTGATGTTTGTTTTTGTGTGGCAAATCGACTAAGTCACTCTACAGCTTCATTTGCTACTGGTGGTACTGACTCTTTCACAGGCGGGACCCTGCATACAAGGCCCAGCGCTATGGGCGCTCACGGGAACGTCGCAGCCCCCAGTGTGCAGACCTCATAGAGCAGTCATAAGAAAAATCTGCTCACTCACTCACCCAAGGAAAGCAACTTTGTTGGTGGCCATGTAGTGTATTCTTGGGTTGGGTAGGTTTCAGGTCAAGACACATGATAAAGATTGAGGTGAAGAGTGAATGAGCAGATTTTTACCAAGGCGGAAAGTTTGTCTTGATCATTTTAAAGGACTGAAGAGGAAGGAGGGGTAATTACACCACCCCTGTCATACAGATTGTTGATATGGGTCACCTAGTCTTTCTGTTCTGTCAGATTCACTGAAAATGTTTTAGGTGACATGTAACACGGACAAAGAATTGCCGCTAATATATTCTCCTTCTATCTCGATCGCTGCCCTTCGTTGGCACTCTGCATATAATACCTCGCTTTAACGTCACTGAGCTAGCACACACCATATAGGGTTTGTTTTTAATGATGTAATTTGCTAAGCTGTCCTTCACAGGGAAGGACTTTTTACTGTGTAGGCCCTTAACGATAACAGTTGTCTAACAGGCATCGAGAGAGGGAGTCGGCTGGTCCTGGAGGATCATATTGGTCAAAGCTTGCTTCCTGCATATCGGGGGATCTGCTCACTGAGGGGCCACATTAACTACTTCAGGGGAGCCCAAAGGCTTCACCCAGTGTGTATAAAATGAGTAGTTTTGCTACCTCTACCTTAATAAGGTCACCACAGAGAGACTACAGATCCCAGGATATCTACTGGGTTGGTAGACTCTGAAGACAGTTTCCTCATGTTGAGGATGCAACTAACTACAAATCACATTTTAGTATTTGGCTGCCTTGGGGCGGTAGGGCATACATTCGGCACTCCTGCCATGTAATACCATACCCCTCTGCACACCCGCTAGGGACACACCTAGCAAAAGTATTTCTCTATATATCGCTATCGTTACACATAAGGGAAATGCGAGTGACTGGCAGGGGTAGGGGAAAATTCTGTCAAGCCTGTGATGTGGCTTCTTACCTGCAGAACTCTCTTGGTCAGGCCTGTTTTCTGGGCAAGCTGCTTGAGGTCCTTGGCATCTGGGTTGTGGTTGATAGCAAAGTAGGACTTCATGGTACGAAGCTGGTGGTGTTTGAAGGAGGTGCGCATGCGCTTTGTCTTCTGGGATGGGGGATAAGGCTGCTGGTCTCTGTCCAGGTGATCTGCCTCATTCTCGTTACAACCTGTGCAGTAAACAAAATGAAACAAGGAGTTAGTGGCCATGCATCCAGTAGGATGAATGAATCAAGGCAAAAATCTTGAGTTTGGAAGGAAGTAAGCAAGCAAGCAAGGAAGGAAGGGCTAAGATGGTGCAAGGATAAGTACAGATGTGGTAATCAAATGAGACAAAAAAGATCCAGAAGATGACCTTTTCCTATTCTTAAAACATGCTATGTCCCCTGGGCCTGTACCTACTAAGGGCAGACTTAACAAGTTCTCTCTCCTTTGGCATTTGTTTTCAAACAAGTCTTTTCCCTGTGGTGATGGTTTTGCTTTGGGCATTCAAAGAGTCATTTGAAATCTCATTCAGATTTTGAAATCTCACTCATTGAAACACTCTTAGCTTGAGAGAAGAATAAAGGTCAAACGAGCATTTTGAATGTTCCTGAGCTTTTCCCCCAAATCACAAGCACCTATAAAAAGAGACGTACAGCAGGAAAGTTTGTTATGACAGTTCATCAAGGAAGCATAAAATCTGGAGGTTTTTGCTGATAAAATAAATGCTTTTGGACTCTGCCTGGGAGTTTATATGAACTGCTCAAAGACCTTCATCTGTAAAACATGTCTAGAAAGCAGTTGCATCAAGGCTTGATTCAGTCAGTCAGTCAGCAGTAGCTCTTAGTTGGTACTGATTTAGGATGTTTCTATAAGCAACCAACTAGTGGCGAAAAACTTTTTTATAAAAGAGTTTCCCTGCTTTCCCTGATTCAGGATTTTCAAAGTGTCTATGAAAGATGAATTTGTTTCAGATTACACTTCTATGGGTGTGAATTGTACACAAGACTTGCAGCTGTTCAGGGACTGTGGCATCATTACTTCATTGGGGAAAGGAAAGACAGTATTGGCAAAAAAAGTAAGACAGACATCTACATTTTTCTTTTCAGCTTAAAAAAATTGGGTTACCAAATTATAGGATCACATTTTATAAAGATAGCTCAGTCACACAGGAGAAAATTAATGGTGTCATCATAGCAGGGAGTATTAATTAAAGAACAGCTAATTAAAAATGTTTCAGAATGTCTGTAAACCAGACCAAGATTCATTAGTTGCTCATTTGAATTTTTGAACTGCTTTCCAATAGTTACTAGATTATTTTCTAGGCCTAGTTGATCCCTATTTCTAAAAAGAGAGAGAGAAGGAGAAAGAGGGAAAGCACACACTACAGAGAGACTGATGTTGACAGTGCTATAAACAGAGGCAAAGCAACTTGAAACCAGGAGAATATAAAAAGCTTCTTGAAGGTGTTTTCTCTTTTGAATAAGACAAGTCAACATGAACAGATGCTGGTAAGACAACACTTTGACAGAAAATCAGGTGAATATTTAATTATAGCTAGATTTGCTTCTAGCCTTGGGAAGAAGTATATCTGCACTTTCAAACAAAGTAAGCTGACACTTCTGAAAATACCAGGAGTTGAAAGTTGCCTTAAAAAAAGTTTCAGACCAGATTTGGATTGTATTTACTACTTGTTTTCACAAGCAATCACACTGCCTTCAGTCAAACTACGTGGGCCATAACTTATGAGCTGACATAAATCAGAGGAGCAGAATTCAGTCCTCAGGTTTTACTTCAGACAGTTGCAAGCTGTTTGTTTGTGTTGTTTTCCTTGGGTCGCTCAGGTTTACAGCAGCAGCGCGAACTTCCTCGGGCTCCTCTGTCCTGCTTACTGTCTTTGTTTCTGTGATCTACTTTTTTGTCTGCGATCTACTTTATTTTGGCTTTTATTTTCCAGAGAAAATGGGAAGAGGGCTCCAAGCATCCTCAGACGATCCTAGTTTATACAATGATTAGCTCACTCTCTATTTTACATGGGTGAAACAGCGTTCCGTGGTTTGGCCACATCTTAGAGCAGAGTTTTACACTATTGCCTGGAGAACTACAGGGAAGCAAAAGATCGGGCAAGACATTATTGCTCATTTCTTTGCAGCGGGATCGGGGGGTTGTTTAATTTTGCTTTGGAAAGAGCTAGAACAGTTTGCTTTTTATTGCCAAGAACTCTTCAAGTGAAGTCTTCATACTTTTTCACACACGCACACACACATACATATAATGAAATAAAGTAAACAGCTCTTTGAGCAACAGCTGTGTAAAATATTTTCCTAGGGAAATCTTCTTCACCATCTCATTTCTATATCCTGTGGGCTGTAAGTCAACACAGTTTCCCTCAAAATACATATTAATTCTATGATATAGGAGGTAATGTAGAGAAAGCCTTGAATGTTTTAAGTACTTTTGAACAGTTTCTTCCATTTTTCACATTAATTCCAGACAGCTCGCAAGTATGAATGGCTTTTACCTCATAACATTTTGAGTTATTTATTGTTGTGTTTCCACTTTACAACCGAGGAGCTGAGAAACAGAAATTAAACTACTAAACAAAATACCGAATAGAAAAGCTGTTGTAGATCCGGCAGCAGAATCTGATTTTCCATTCTGGCCCTGTGCTCAGCTCCCCTCAAACAAAATGTGCGCACAAATCTGAGCCAGGTACTGCCCGATCGCTTGTGAATACACATATGTTTATGCTCAGCTTGGCGAAGTAGTTAGCTTAATCAGAGTTTCGTTTTTAAAGGTCGGATTCGTTTTCCGTAGCGGCTTGCCACATCGGTAAGGACACCCCAGGGCATGACTGTTTCGGCAGGATACCGCCTTGGTTTACTGGGGAAGTTAAATTCGTGGCTCTCACCGCACAGGGCGCGACAAGAGTCAACTTTTGCTACGACTGAGAAGTTGTCCGCTGAGAGGCGGAGCGCTGCCTCCCGGCTCGGGCGTGCTTCAGCGCAGGCGGGGGATCTGCGGGTCAGGGCTGCGCCTCTGCCCCTCGGCTCTCCTGCCCGAGACCCCGGCCCCGGGGAGCCCGGGCCGGGAGGGGAGGGAGGGGA